CCGGCGCCCCCACCCCAATCCGGCCCGTCCTCCCCGCTCGGGCCCAGCGCGGCCCCTCCCGCCGCCAGCGCCCGGTGCCCCCCAGCTTCCGGGCCTGGAGCGCCCCCCCAACCCCAGCTCCCGGTCTGCGCCCCCCCACCGAGACGGGCCGGGCCTCGGCCGGCCTTGGCCTCGGGCCTGGGGAGCCCCGCCGGGCACCTCCAGCGCCGGGCAGCTTTTGGGGCCTGTTGTGGGGGGGATCCAGGGCGCATCCCACCCGGAAGAGCGCGGCCCCCAGGAAGGGCGCTGGGAATCTGGGGTGGCCCCCGCCTCGGGAGGTTTCCAGGCGCGGAGAGAGACCCCTCCCCCAAAGGGGACTTTGCAGGGAGGCCTCGCAGCACCCCAACTTGCAGAGGGGGGTATCTTCTAGGACGCGTTTCCACCGCCCCCACCCCGGCCGCCGGAGCAGTTGGGGCGCTCGGATGTGCACCCCCCACCCCCCCAACCCCGGCGCTTTGGAGGGGCGGTAGAGGGCGCGCCCTGCCCCCCACCAGGGGCGGGCCTGGGGGCGGCGGGGGACGGGGCGGCTGCGGCGCACCCACCCCCTCGGCTTCCCGCGGGAGAGGCGGGGGCAGGAAGCGGGGGCGGGGGCCGCGCCAGGGGCTGTAAACACCGGCCCAGGAAGTGGGGGGGTGGGGGGCGCTGCAGCTGCGCTGGCCGCTGCTTCCCTTCCCCGCGGGCCCTACAAGAGAGGGGGGCGGCTGGACCCCCGCCTGGCCCTGATCCCGGCCGCCCCCTCCCCAACAGGGCTCCTCGCACCTACCCCAGCAACTCAAATTCACCACCTCGGACTCCTGCGACCGCATCAAAGACGAATTTCAGCTGCTGCAGGCTCAATATCACAGGTGAGCCGGACCCCCGGTTGGGGGGGGTCCCTGCGCCCTGAGAAGCTGCGCCCCTTTCACTCCCCACCCCGGGCGCAGATGGCTCGACCAGGCCTGCAGGGGAGACGGCGGCCCCCTGCATGCGCACACTTGCAAAAATGCACATCTGGAGCGTCTCATGCGCTGGCCTCTGCCCTGAACACTCTCCCCGGACTGGATCCATTTGATCTTTTAAACAGACCCATCTCCTGGATGAGAAAACTGAGGCACAGAAAGTTCAATAATTTACTCAAAGACCCAACTGCGTGGCTTCAGAGCCCCTCCCCGTCCCCACTGGGTAAAAGACCTTCCCAAAACTAGAACGCAGGGAGGGACCCTCCACCTACCCACCCCCAGGAGAGTAAATTCTGCAGCCGGTCCCTCTCCCTCTGCCCGCTTTTGAAGAAGGGGTTTCTAGCATGGAGCGGATTGTCCTAGGCAGCTGTCCCTCCAGAACCTAACCTCCGCCCCCTGCTGAAAGGCTTGCCCATGCGGGACCTCAGCGGAAGGAAGGATTATAGTCCTCCTCGTATGTCTAGAAAAACTTAACCCGGAGAGGGTAGGGATTTCCTCGGGGTGTGCATGCAGCCTGGAGGCGGCAAAACTAAACTGAGCTTTGCACTCACTCGTCCTAGTTTAAGAATACAGATGATCAAGCACTGTGCTATAGAGGGGACACCTTGCCCGGGAACGTCAAGAAATCAGAGGCTGTGCATAAATCCCAGTTGGCCCTTAGGCCCCCCACAAACTGAAGTTTACCTTCCCAGAAGTGTTCTATGAAGACTCTTGGGGTTTCTCCAAGAAGAAAGAAGAATAGCAATCTTTTGTGGGGGTGGGGGGGATAGGGTCTTGCTCTGTTGCCCAGGCTGGAGCACAGTGGCATCATCACAGCTCACTGCAGCCTCCAACTCCTGGGCTCAAGCGATCCTCCTGCCTCAGCCTCCCGAGTAACTGGGACTGTAGGTGCTGCCACTGCACCCAGCTACTTTTTCTATTTTTTTGTAGAGATGGGGTGTGGCTATGTTGCCCAGGCTGGTCTTGAACTCTTGGCCTCAGGATCCTCCAGTCTTGGCCTCCCAAAGTGCTGGGATTACAAGTGTGAGCCACTGTGTCGGCTTGTTGTGCCCAATTTAAAGATGAGGAAACTGAGGCACTGACAGTTAAAGGCACTGGAGCCCACTTCTCTGGCAGGCCCCAGAAACTTTGTTGGGCTCCCTGCTCGACTGTGCCCACTTCATCGTGAGCCCAGGGCTGACCCCATTCTGGAGGCAAAGGATCAGATTGCTGTCACAGTGTCATGTGACCTTGGGTAGGTTTTCGGGCCTCCATCCACTGGGAGTGGGCTTCCCGCTATCCAGTGAGGGGCCCTGCCACGTTGGGGACACGCACAGGATCTGCCGGCATTACAGGCCCTGGGTGGCTGGATAGTCCTATTTTTCAAGAAAGGACAGAAATTCCAGAGTTTAGGGTCAAACATCCTGATTTTTTTTTTTTTTTTTTTTGAGAGATGGGGTCTCACTCTGTCACCCAGGCTGGAGTGCTGTGGCATCATCACAGCTCACTGCAGCCTCAAACTCCTGGGCTTAAGCGATCCTCCTGCCTCAGCCTCCTGAGTAGTTGGGACTATAGGTGCAGCCACCATGCCCGGCTAATTTTTTTATTTTTCGTAGAGATGGGTCTTGCTGTGTTGCCCAGGCTGGTCTCAAACTCCTGGCCTCAGGCGATCCTCCCGCCTCGACTTCCCAAAACGCTGGGATTACAGTCATGAGCCACTGCAGCCAGCCCTGATTTTTTTCTTTTAATGGTGGCAGCAGATGTACATTTTTAAAGCAAATTAGCTAAAAGTTTGTGAGGTCCCAGGCAACCCCAACTGTGTCTCACTCCACTCTGGGGAGCACGGTGCCAAGCTCCCGGGCACAGGATTTCACAAGCATTTATTGGATGCCTACTGTATGCCAAGAACTATTCTCAGAACTTTTCTGAATTCATTGGAATCCTCGCCACCCTACCCTGGGAGGTTGAAATGGAACTGAGAAGGCCCAGAGAGGTAGAGGAGTTTGCCTGGAGTCACACAGCAGGGCAGAGCCATGGACCCAGGCCGTCTGGCTCTTCTGTGGGGGGTGCGAGAGGGGGCAATGAAGCCACAGCCAGGTCCGAGGGGCCCCTGTGCTGGACTGGATAGAAAGAGGTTTAAGAACAGAGGCTTGTCCACACCTGCCCACCCCCACCCCCAGTTCTTTTCCCTGACCGGCTGGCTCTACGCTGGCTGTCACTAGGTGTCCCTTGCACCCTGCCACCCTCATGGGGGCCTTTGTGCAACGCCCACAGCTCATCCCTACTGGGAGCCCCTGAAAAAAGCTCCGGTGTCAGCCATCTGGGCCCCCCAACGTAGAAACGGGGAGCTGGTGTCTTCTCACTGCTATAGAAAGCGGGCAATTCAGGAGGACTGTGTGGCTAGAACCCCTCGGGGAGTCCCGCCCGGAGCCGTCCCTGGCGGCCCTGCACCCTCTCAGGATCTGTGCAGTTTCTGTTTGGGTCTAGAGAATTCTCCCCCATGGTTGAGAGCTTGGGCTGCTTCTTGGCTGTGTGACCTTGAGCCAGTTACTCAACCTCTCTGGTCGCCCATTACGTCATCTGTAAAAGGAGACTGACGATGACGCCGGTGACCTCATCGGGGATCATGAGAGGGGACGGGTTCTTCAGATCTCTCCTTGATTCAGGGTCGCCGCGACTTTAGTGATTGTGATTATATTTCCGGCCCCAGATCTGCGAGGCTGGTTTCTTGCTCCCCGTTTCATGCTGAGTCGTTCTCCCCGACTCCACTGTTACCAACTCTCCTGGCCCTGGGTTCAGTGTTTGCTCCCCTCACTGCCCCACAACTTGTCCGTCCAGGGAAGAGCTGATTTTGCCCTTGCTGGGGACTCGAGGCCCTCGGAGCCTCAGTTTCCCCCCTGCACAACCTCAGCCTGGCCTCCGGCAATCCGTGTCACCCCCTCTCCGTGTCCCCCTTGTGTTTTCTCAGCCTAAAGCTCGAGTGTGACAAGTTGGCCAGCGAGAAGTCGGAGATGCAGCGTCACTATGTGATGGTACAGTCACCCTGGGCCCTGTGGGAGGGCAGGCGGGGGACCCCAGACCCTCCTCCTGCGCAGGCAGCTGCTGCCTACACCCCGGCGGCCACCTCCCCCGGGAAGTGCGGGCATCCAGGGGCTGTTCTCCGTTCAGCCGGCCCCCGCTGGGCTGAGCCTGCCCTGCTGGCCTGGCAGCCTGCCCAGGCAGTGGCCGAGGTGCCAAACCGCCGGGTTGCAGACTGGGCCCGCCAGGTCCCCGGCTGTCCTTGGCAGAGGAGGAGGCGGCACCGGCTGTGAAAGCCAACAGCCAGGAACTGACGTGGGGGAGCAGCCCCACCCCCGAGCTCTTAACCCCTCCACGCCCGAGCTCTGGGAGGAGCACTCCGGGGGCCCCTGGCGTGGGCCCTGCTCATGGCAGGGCGGCTGCCATACTGCGTCCTTGCTGCCAGAACCACTTGCTCGGTTTTCTGCCCGCCAGGCAGCAGTTTCTGCACCAAAAACCCCCCTGTTTTGCCCACCTCTCCCCGCCACACACTCACACCCCATCCCCGTGGCCTGGCCACAGCCCAGCGACACTGGGGTCTCAAAGAGGAGTCACCCCAGAGCCCAACTCTCCCAGACTGGGAGGGTGACACAGAACCAGACATTGACCCTCCCGGCCAGCACGGATGGGGCTGGAGTCAGAGACAGGGGGACCTGGGACTCCAGGGGGTGGGAGGAATTGCCTGAGGAAGACTGCATGGAGAAATGGGGCATTGTGTTTGGGGTTTTGAAGAATGAGTAGGAGCCTGCTGGACAGACGGGGAAACCACGCAGACCCGGAAATGAACTTGGCTTTTTCCCCCAAGGAGTGATGGGGAGGCATGGGAGGGTTTAGAGCAGGGGAGGGGCAGGGTCAGACCTGGGGCTGGGGTGGCTGCTGGTGGCTGCTGGCCCCAGAGCTGGAGCCAGCAGACTTTGTTTATCCTCAGTATTTATACCCAGGGAGGCCAACTTCCAGGAGTCTGGGCCCACCCGCAGACAAGACATATAAAGACACAAGATTAGGGGCCCCGGGAATGTGGGGGGAATTGGGCAGGGGGTTGACCCCACGCACAACCCCAGCGAACCCCCACCCCTGTCCTGTGCTCCCTGGGACTCTGGGTGTGGGTGTCCCTCCCTCCCTCGCTTTCTGTCTCCCTCCACCTTCTTTTCCTGCCTTCCTAACTGTCTCTTGCTGTCTCCCTCTTTGTCTCTGTCACTCCCCCATCTCTTTGTCTCCCAACGCCCCCCATGCTTCCCCGCCCCCATCTCTCTCTCTCCCCCCCACGCAGTACTACGAGATGTCCTACGGCTTGAACATTGAGATGCACAAGCAGGTAAGCCCGTTTTCCCCCTCCTCCTCCAGCCCCTCTTTGGGCACCCCCCCTCCCCAGGCAGCCCTGCTGCCCCCGCCCAGGCTCCCTGCTTCTTGCTCAGACCCCCTGGGATTTTTTTTTTCTCCCTGAACGGAAGACCTTCCCGTGACTTGCTACCCCCACCTGTCCCTACATTCCCAGGGAGCGCTTACTACCCACGAGGCGCTGTGTGTGGTCTTCCCGAGCGAGCGGCTGACCCGGATTTGGTCCGGCTCCCTGCACTCTGAGCTGCAGGCAGAGAGCCAGCTCCGGTCCCCCCGCGGGCTTGGCTGACCCCTCACCGCCCAGCCCAGCCCCTCCCCTCCTAGAGAGAACCGGGCAGGCCTCCCGGGGCTGCAGGGCTGGTCTCCACCTGCCACCCACTTGGGGACTGAAGCGTCTGTGTGTTCCAGGCTGAAATCGTCAAGAGGCTGAACGGGATTTGTGCCCAGGTCCTGCCCTACCTCTCCCAGGAGGTAAGAGCACCCCAGGGCACGGGCCTCCCCCTCTCTGGACCCCCCCAGACACCAACCGGGCTAGAGCGACCCCAGGGCGCCAGGGAGGTGGAGGGTGGGCCTCACCCCGCTGTGGAATTCCCAGTTCCAGTGAGTCATTTCACGGGTAAAACATGTCAAATGCACCAGAACTACACCCAGAACTTTCTCCCGTCTCTCTGTTTTCGCCCTCCCGAGACGCACGCAGAGCTCTGTGTGCTGCCTTGGACCGCACACGTACACAGACACACAGACACGTCGGTGCAAGCACAGGGGTGCACAAGGGACGCACGGACACACACACACCCAGAGGGACCAGGCGCTGGCTTTTCTTCCCCTTTCGAGGGTTCCGAGACTCTTGGTGGGAGGCCCGCTTCGGCCCCGCCCCCAGCCAACCTCAGGCCATGGAAGGCCAGGCTCCTGGTCCCTGCCAGGTTCACTCCTAAAAATTTGTCATTTCCTCTTTAATCCCTGCTCATACTACGAGATTTTTCAGGTGCCTTAGTTGCCCAGGGACACGTCTAGAAGGACACGGTGAAAGCCCCAGGGAAGAGGGTCCTTGGAACCCTTCAGATCTAGACTTGGGCTTTCCTTTTATGACACAGGCTTCCTAGGAGCCAAGGCAAAAAGGGAGATTGGTGGATTCTAGCATCTGGTGGCAAGAGAGTGAGACTTTCCAGGAGATCAGTGGGAGGAAATGCCCTTGAATGTGGACTCGCACCCCAGCCCTGCCGGAAGTCACTGGGCCTAAGGGCTTAGATTTTCACATCTCAGAGCCTAGTCTCTGAGCTCGTAGGATCAGGACTTCCCTGTACAGTTGGTCAGGTTGTGTACTGCACACAACCCACATCCTTTACTGAGTTGCACGTGGCTTTGCACGTAGGGTGGATCATGACCCGGGATTTCTCTCGGACTCACCCAAAGGCCTTTTCCTAAGTATCTGGTGCCATTTGTTGCAATTTGCCAGATGAAGAGACAGGCTTGGTGTAAGGAAGTGGCCGGAGCCAGGTGTTTGCTTTTGAGCCGTGGGAGGCAGGGGGGCCCTGCTTGGTAGTGGGGCTTCTGCTGGGCTCCGTGTCCGTGCTTCCCCCCCCAGGATCAGGACAAATCACCTGCCTCTTCTCTCACCCCGCCCCCCTTCCAGCACCAGCAGCAGGTCTTGGGAGCTATCGAGAGGGCCAAGCAGGTGACCGCTCCCGAGCTGAACTCCATCATCCGAGTAGGTCTGGGCACCTGCGGGGCGGGCAGGCTGGCGGGCCTGGGACAGGTGGGCCGCTGACAGCCGATGCTCCCCTTCCCCCGCCCTTGCAGCAGCAGCTCCAAGCCCACCAGCTGTCCCAGCTGCAGGCTCTGGCCCTGCCCCTGACGCCCCTGCCCGTGGGGCTGCAGCCGCCTTCGCTGCCGGCGGTGAGCGCGGGCACCGGCCTCCTCTCGCTGTCCGCGCTGGGCTCCCAGGCCCACCTCTCCAAGGAGGACAAGAACGGGCACGACGGGGACACCCACCAGGAGGACGACGGCGAGAAGTCGGATTAGCAGGCGCCGGGATGGGGAGGGTCGGGGAGGTGGGGGGGACGGAGGGGACACCGAGGCACGGAGGGAAAGGCATGTTTAGCGCGAGACACAGTATAGCTCGGGATTGGCTCAGCTCCGTAGTATTTATCGTGGCCGCCCGCTGGGGCCCTGGCCCTGCTCTAGCTTTGTTCCTGCCCCCCCCAGTCCCGGCCTCCCCCCTCCTCCTCCCCTGCAGCCTGAATAGGTGAATGGGTACCCGCTCGTGACATAGATGGGGCAAGCTAAGGCCTGGATGGGCACAGGGAGACCAGGTCAGAAAGGAGCAAAACCTAAAGAATTAGTCCAACACCCCCGGCACGTCCCCTGTGCGAACAAGTGCGAACACGTGGAACCGATAGTCTGCTCGCTGGGCCCTCGGGCACACGCCACAGCTCCCGCCCCGGCACTGCATGCAAACACAATGCTAGCTGCCCCCTCCCCGTCCTGGGCACCCAGAGTGTCCCCCTGGGGCCTAGACCTGCTCCCACCTCCACCTCCTGCCCCGCTCACCGCCTCCGCTAGTTCCAGACACCCCCATGCCCGCCCGGTCCTCTCCCCCCGCCCGCGAAAGTGGGGGGCGCAAGCCTAGCTGCAACAAGCCGGGTGGGGGCGGGTGACCCCGGACTTCCCTTCTCCCCTTCCCGAAATAAAGATGAGGGTACTGAAGTTGTCTTGGTTTTTTTTTTTTAATTTTTTATTATTTTTTTCTTTTTCCAGTATACTAGCTTGTCTTTTAAGAAAGGGGATATTAAAAAAAAGAGAGAGACAGAAAAATGTTTTAAAAAAAAAAAGCAACAGCCACACCTGTGTCTGTATACGGTCAGCTTTTGTCGTGCTCGTTGGTTTGGTCTCTGCAGAGGCGTGAACAATGCTGTATCGAGGGTGGGCTTAGCTGTGCCTTTCAAATAAAGATGGGAGAAGGTTCAGAAATGTGTTCCTGTCTCTGTGTCGTGGCGGGGGGCGGGGGGCTCCTTCCCATCCAAGATGTCCTCTGTTGCGGGATGGGACATCAGCAAGGGTCCTAGGTGCGTCAGGTTTCTACGCGTGGTTCACCTCCCTTCCATGCCTAGCCCAGAGAGGGTGAGCTGGAGACTGGGGGTCACACAGCGTTGCCCAGGTGCGGGAGGTGTAGCCAGCCATTTAACGGGTGGGCAGAGGGGCTCAGAAAGAGAAAGGGGTCACTGAGCAAATAAGTGACAAGGCTGGTTTCCATGCCCCAGGCCACAGGGCTCCCAAACCACATTCTTTGCCATTAGAGAGTGCCCCACTGCCTGCCTGCCTGTATCCTTTTCACAGATGAGAGAACCCAGACCCCCAGCCGAGCCTGGGTCCTCCCAAGGGACAGCCTAAAGTACCCCCCAACGGCCTCACTCAAGCTAGGCCAGCCCTGGGGAAGCCGGAAAGAAAAGGGGTGGTCCCCAGTCCCCCCATCTTGATCTTGGTCCTTTGCTGCTCTGGGACTTGGGCCAAGGGGACCTTGGGCTGCCCACCCAGGGACTGGGAGGTGGCCGTCCCTGCTTTGTAAGGGCTGCCTAGCATAGGTGTCCAACCTCAGGGAGCTGGGAGGGGAGGTGGCGAGACAGCAGACCTCAGGGAAAATGTCTCGTGTCCCCAAGGAGAGAATGAGGGTTCAGGGCACAGGGCTGGGTCCCACCCCTCCCCGACTGCAGCCATAGCACCGCCAAGCATTCCCCGTGTGATGAGGTCACTCCCGCCTGACGTTCATGCTTGCGACACCCAAACTCGCCTACGCACACCAACTTGGCACAGAAACTGTCATATCTACTTCGGAAAACCATTCAGCACCCCATAGATGAACCACACCCCTCCTGGAGACACCTCCCAACAGAACTGTCACACCAGTCCACCGCAAAGACCTGAACGAAAGTGTTCAGAGCTGCCATAACTAGTCGCAATTGCCCCCAAACAAACGGATCCACTGTGACACGGTGTCACCGAGGAATACTACACAGCCAGGAAAGGAACAGGCTACTACAGCCGCACCCAACATCACAAAGCATCGCCCACGGGACGTGGGACGGTACAAACGAGTGCAGAGCGCGTGTGATCCGTTTCCACAAAGGACAAACACAGGCCCGAGTGACCTGTGGTGTCAGACTTCATGGAGTCACCCTGGGGGAGGAGGGACAAGAAAGGCTGCTAATGGGGGGGTGTCACGTTTTGCTTCCTGTCTTGGGAGCTGGTTGTACGAATGTGTTCACTTGGTGATAATTCATCGCATTGGCCACTTACAATTTGTGTGCTCTTCTCTTACGTTTCACACTGAAAAATGATTTAAAAAAGAGATTAAGGCCAGGCGCGGTGGCTCACGCCTGTAATCCCAGCACTCTGGGAGGCCGAGGCGGGAGGATCACTTGAGCTCAGGAGTTCGAGACCAGCCTGAGCAACATAGCGAGACCCTGTCTCTGCAAAATATAGAAAAATGAGCTGGGCGTGGTGGCTCCTGTAGTCCCAGCTACTCAGGAGGCTGAGGCAGGAGAATTGCTTGAGCCCAGGAGTTGGAGGCTGCAGTGAGCCATGATCTCGACCAACACTACACTCCAGCCTGGGAGATAAAGTGAGACCCTGTCTCAAAAAATAAAAATAAAAAAAAATAAAAGATTAGCTTTGGCTCCCACGGCTCTTGGAATAAATTCTAAATTCTTCACCTAGGCCTGCAAGACTCACCCAGGTGTGCAGTCATTCGTACTCAGTAGGTTGCAGCCACATTTAAACATCTTTCAGTTCCTCGCCTCTAGGCCTTTGCACATGCTGTTCCCTCTGCCTGGAACAGTGTTCTTTTTTTTTTTTTTTCCCCCTCCCCACTATTCTAATCCTTCAAGACTCCCTTGAAGTCTGTTTCCTGAAGGCCTCCCCCAAAGCAAGGTGGGTTCCATGACACCCTTCCCCCAGGTCCCACACAAATTCCCTGGGTCTCAACAGAACAGCGGCTATTACTGGAGGATGAACGAGTCCCGTGACGATCTCGGGCATGGGGCCTCCCGCGTGAGTTTCTTTTTTTTTATTATTTTTTATGTAGAGACAGGGTCTGGCTGTGTTACTTACCCAGGCTGGTCTCCAACTCCTGACATCAAGATCCTGCCCCCTTAGTCTCCCGGAGTGCTGGGATGACAGGCGTGAGCCACCGCGCGGGGCTTCCAGCATGAGTTCAAATCCCGGCTCTTCCTCTGTCCGCTGGGTCATCCAGGCAAGTGACTCCACCGCTGGGGGCTTGGTTTCCTTATCCTTAAAATGGGCATAATGACTGCACCAACTTTCTCAGGACTATCCCGTTTAATCTGTGGAAAGTGCTCCCAGCAGAGGCTGGGACATTCATTCATTCAGTCATTCATTCTTTGAGGCTCTACTCTGAGCCCCAGGAACACCACAGGGAACAACCCCCCTCCCCAAGAATCCCTGCCCTCCTGGCTGGGGAGGTAACTGAGTAAAATACACAGTTTAGTTAACATAGAATTTGTGAATCGAGACTATTTTGTTAATATAGAACAACAAGGGGAGAGGCAGGAGCAGGGAACGGGGGCTGGGGTTAGGCCCCCTCTGACCCCAGCAGTGATTTGGGGCAAGAGAGGTCACTTTTCTGATCTCGGTTTCTGGGAAATGGTTCTGAGAATCAAGAATCCTGCTAGGGCTTCCGCGCTGGCAGCTGATAATATTATTATTATTACTATTATTATCACTGATGTTGCGGGCAGATGAAGGGCGCCCTGGGGGGGGTTAGGACCCCACCCTCGCTCTCACCCCCACCAGGGGTCTTCTCTGGAAAAGGGGGGGGTCCGGCCTGCCCGGCCACAGAGTGGCCCGAGGGCTGGGGGGGGTTTCGTGGGCCCCCCGCAGGGGTGAGGCAGGGTCGGGGCGCTGCGGGGCGGGGTGACGAGGGGCGAGGCGTCGGCTCCTGCCCCCCCCACTCCCGCGCGGCCCCCGCCTGCTTAACGACTGCGCCGCGGGCGACCTCGGCTAATTGATCCGCTAATGGGCCCCGCGCTGCGGCCGGGCCTAATGAGCCGAGGAAGGGGAGGAGGGTGCAGGGGAGCGGGGGAGGAGGAGGGGAGGGGTG